TTTTGCCATTTTTATGCGCTGAAAAGCCCAGATATGGGTTCCTTATGGCGAGAATGCTCCGAGAAGGTGAAAATGTGGAAAACGAAATTCTGCCGGGACGATTCAACGGTACTGTTAGTGGCAATTCACATATATTTTCGCAATAATACCTATTGATTGTGTCTGCACATTACTAGGCTTTTGCGCCATGCTGCAATCTTCTGGTGTTTTTTTTTTCGAGTTAGTGGAATCTCATATTGAAGGTGATGTTCGTCCTGTTGGATATTTTTCCAAAGAGCGAGGATGTGCTGATGATCTTAATCTCAGTTGTATCTTGATTTTTCCTCCATTCCAGAGGCATGGATACGGGAGTTTTCTAATCCAACTTAGTAAGCTGTTCACATCTTTGGCCCTACTTGTGCATTTGGAAATATAAATTCTAGGTTACGAACTATCACGACGAGAAAACATCCAAGGTTCACCCGAGAAGCCATTGTCTGATCTTGGCTTGGCCAGTTACAGGCACTACTGGGCCTATAGGATTGTTGATCATTTGTCCGGCTTGATGGATACCTCATGGATCCGCGTATCAGAATTGGCGGGAATTTTGGGTAATTTTTAGAAGGCTAGACTTTGTGTACGAGTATTTTGAATATATTACATCAATGTTCTAGGCATGCAAGTCGAAGATGTTGTAGACACGCTTGAATGGCTGCACCTCTATGACCCGAACTTAATAACAGAAACACCCGAAGATGTTGAACCTTGGGTGTTTGTTTATATTAAGAAGCTAGATTTATTACGTAAAACTGTTGCGAGACCTCCGCGTTTGACTCTGAATGCACGATTGCTCCACTGGCGACCTAACAAGATGTAGGATTTTCTAGCAAGCTCCACTAGACAGTTACCGGTTTGATTTTGGAACGAAGTGTTTCGCTATGGGTCAAACTCTTTCGTTTAAAAGGTCATATTTTGATTTTTCTTCGTTTTTTTTGAGATCTTTTAGAATATATTGATTTTCGTATGGTTTTAAATTTCTCTCTATGTAGCAAAAAACTATCATCGCTTCAGCTGAACTGAGGTACTGAATGCTGATAAACTGAACTAGATTGTAGAATTGAGCTCATTTAGAGGGTTTGTGCTTTCTGCTTTGCAAAAGATTGTACAGTTTTGCTAAGTTTACTGTGTTGCGATCTCATATATCAATAAATATTTTCTTTAAATGGATACTTGTATGACATGTCGACTCCGTTTATCTGATAGAATTGATTTTGGCTATATGTTTTTCTCTATAAAAGTTTCAGAATCCATGGAGGATCAAGATCAAGACAAAGAGGGAAGCCATGCGCAAGAGAATGGATCTTGTCAAGTTACAGAGGTGAATTTGTAGTTAGTGTAAGTAAACGTGGTTGCTGTGTTTATCTAACTTTCGTAAAATCACTTGCGTAACAAAACCTTCGGGAGTTTGCTTCTGTCTTCGAAGCTCCGTGGCAATGGGTGTGAACATAAGGTGGACAAAGATTTTCGTTATGTCTTATCACAGTGCATCCAAGAGAAAGGAGTTCGCTATCCTATGCGAGAGTCTACTGTTCTGCGTCTTCTACGCCGTTCCTCGCTTTGAATGTAGTGTTTACGCAATCTTTCTGCTTATTCACTTGTTGGGTCCTTTCGCTAGGTAAATATGTATTTTGGAGACCACGAAAGTAACGGAAATGAAATATCGAAGTTCTTCTGATTGAAGGACAGCGCGGCCAGCCATTACGCAAACAGAAAAAAAACGCCAGTGCCAAGTTAGTTTGGAGCATGATATCTGTTAATACTAATCATTCTCACAATACAGGGAAGAGAGGTGACATTCAATCTTTTGATGGAAGCGAGATCGTTTGTAGTGCACATAGTAGCTAGTTTATGGCAAGAAGAGAATTCCAAAAAACGAATGAGTTTACATGATCTTTGCCGCTTATTTCTTTGAAGTGCTGGATCAAAAAGTGTCGAGTGAGTATGTGTGGTTCAAACTTGCATCATACTATAGCCTTGCGTTATCAGCGAACTATTTTCACTTGATACTACGATCTTTGTTGTTTCTGAAGCAGGTAAAGTTTTTAGGAAGCTACATAAGTGCTTGGGTGACATCTGTCGATAGCTCCTTTGGTATTCTGAAAAAA